TCTCTTAAAAGCAAGGGGTGTTTGATTGTGTTCCTTAAGACTTTCAGGCAAAACGTTCCAGATTCTAGCACATCGGACAAAAAACGAGCGTTGATAGGAGAGAGTAAAGGTTGATAGGAGAGAGTATAGACTTGGCGTGAAGTCGCTGGAATTTCTGCAAAGAGGACGCCATTGGATGAAAATGTTGTTATTTCATGTCAGGTAAGTCACTATAGCTCTAATTTGTGTGTCAGTTTTACAATGGTAGTATTTTGAGCCTGAGGGCGGGATATGAATCACACTTCAGGCTAATTTAGTTAGAGAATGTCAGAGAGCCTGTATAGCAAAATACTAATGGTGGTCGGCTGAAACATGGAGACCTAATCAAAGAATTTCATCCACAAAAAACCTTCCATTTTACATTTCAGGGGAAAAAATGAGACCGTTCATAGGCTCCTGGACGCTCTTGGTAACTGTCACGCGCTCGTAACGAGGAGGATCGCGTGATGCATCACAAAGCAGCCACGTCTACACTTCCTTGCTTGACCACTTTACAACCCAATTAGACGCCAAATTTCAAAAAAAAATAATTAATAAGGCAAACACAGGCCTGCCGCATCGTTAACAAGAAAACGAAACAAAGCAAAAGACAAAAAAAAAAAAAAAAACCTCCCCGTCGCAGTATTTGGTCACGCCAGAGGAAAGCCGTGATAGTCACGTGAGGTCTCTAGCGTGACCTTTATGAGCTACGCTCTTTACAAGAGTGTTTATTATTTTTCCAATCGTGCATGAGACATGGCGAGTGATCAAGCGGAGATTCTGAAACAAAAAGCCAAAGAAGCCATCGATGTCTATTCTTCAGAGTTGTATGATCTAAACAAGAGCTTATGGGAAAACCCAGAACTCTGTTTCAAAGAAACGCACGCTCATGATCGACTGACGGAGTTTTTAGCCGAGCGAGGTTTCGATGTGACGCCCCATTACACTCTGGATACAGCGTTTCGTGCTGAATGCGGTGAAGATGGAGGTCTAACAATTGGTCTGATTAGTGAATATGACGCTTTACCAGAAGTAGGACATGCTTGTGGACATAATCTGATCGCTGAATCAGGTGTAGCCGCTGCTTTAGGTAAGTTCATAGTTGCTCTTCGTTGCAGATCAAGATTTCATGATCAGAATAATTTTCCTTTAGAACCATACCTACTCTACATAGAATCTCCTTTATTCTATTCTTCACACACAAATGAATGAGTCATAAATTGAGCGAGACTAGAAGAATGAGTGTCGCACTAGATGAAAATAAAATACTCCATAAAGCATCTTAAAACGTAATTGGAATCGTTAATACAATTCTGTGAGACCTAGCACTTCAAATTTAGAATAATAGTCCTCTCAGATTACTCAGAGGCTTAGGGGGGAAAAAACAAAAGGAATTATTTATTTATCCGCCATCCTCCATGTAATTTCTTTTGTTTTATTCCCCTAAGCCTCGGAGCCAAGTTAGAATTTTGATATTTATACCTGTATCGACCAAGGTGTTTTTCCCAATTTCGGTTAGTTAAAAAAATAAGGTGTTAATTGCATTGTGTACAGAACTGCCCAAATTAATAATACAAGTTGATTTGCACACTATCCATATGGAAATTATTTTTCATAATATGTAAAATAACATGTAAATAAAGTTATTATTATTATGTACGATGAAGTAATCATGCATCGCTTGTCTGGGATTTTGGGCTGCAAATGTAATAATTATAATTTTTAATAGATGTGTGTGTGTGCATGTACAGGTCTCAAGATAGCTTTAGACGCAGTCAGTCAGAAGCCAAAGGTGAAAATAGTTCTTCTTGGAACTCCTGCGGAGGAAGGAGGTGGAGGCAAGATTCTGATGATCAACAATGGGTGCTTCAAAGACATTGACTTCTGCATGATGGTTCATCCTTGCCCTTATGATATGCTGAAGCCTCACTTTTTAGCTTCTCAGATAGTCAAAATTACCTACAAAGGTCATGCAGCCCATGCCGCAGCATTCCCTTGGGAAGGAATCAATGCGCTAGATGCAGCTGTGATGGCTTATAACAACATAAGTGTGCTACGACAGCAGATGAAGCCAACATGGCGAGTCCATGGCATTATCACTGAGGGGGGTGTTAAAGCTAACATCATTCCTGACCGTACCCAGCTTGAGTACATGATCAGAGCTCTCACTGATGAGGAACTTCGAGTGTTGAAAGGAAAGGTCACTGCTTGCTTTGAAGCAGCAGCATCTGCTACTGGTATGTCATCAAAAACTTCATGGCATTCAGTTCATTTCAACCAATTTTGTTACATTGGTTTTTTGGGGGAGTAGGGGAGGCAGGGACAGAGCCGTGGGGGAGGGGGGTTGCATGTGGGGGACACATAGTGACTTAATGGCTAACAACTGGGTTTGGGATTTAGCGGTCAGGTTTCAAGCCCTTGGGCCAGACTGACTTTTTTGTGTTCTTGAGTGAGACACTCAATTGTCACTTGATGTTGTTTCCAAGCGGGAGTATAATACTTAAGGTATGTGTGGCCTTTCAGGGACAAAATATTGGTGAAGAGGGAGGGGAGAACCAATAGATAGCATCACCCTGTAAGTCATTTCATGTAGCACTGACATTGATTGAGCCACTGGCTCCTCACTGGAACAGGGAGCAGTGTGCACCTGGTGGCCAAAACTAGTGGTTATGGTGCTGAACTTGAAATCTGGATGTCATATGTTCAAGTACTACGCTGACCACTAACTGGAGTTGTTTGACTGTACACTCACTGTAGATTCACTGTAATCAGATCCCTGATTATGTTTGTAAATAGCCAACAGGTTTGCTTCCTGCCAGTTGGGGTTTTCAACCTTGTGTTTCTTTTGAACTGTTTGTTTCTGAAATTTAATTGCTCTGTCTCAGTAGCATTTGACACCGACCAAGGTTAAATTTGTTAATTTTATAACTAATAAATTAATTATTAAAGTATTAATCTATTATTAGCATTATTATTTTGTTTTGACCAGACCTTGGGTTTAAGTTAGTTGATCAGTATTTGCTCTTTCATTCTTTAAAGGATGCACAGTGTCTCTGGAGTGGGAGGTTAGTTATTCCAATTTGGTAACTAATTCCACACTTGCAGAGCTTTACCAAGCTAATGTGAAAACCTTAGGAATAACATTTGGTCCACTGAAGGATGGAGAAGCATTGGGCTCGACAGATATGGGCAATGTCTCTTACATAGTGCCTTCAACTCATGTGATGTATGGTATTGACAGCAAAGCTGTGAACCATTCCCATGCATTCACAACAGCAGCAATAACAGAGATTGCTCATGAGAAAACCTTAATTGCAAGCAAGGGAATGGCCATGACTGCTATCGATGTTTTGTGCAATCCTGAGTTGATGGTTAAAATCAAGAAAGACTTTGAAGAAGAACAGTTAAAGACTGATTCATGATGATAGTGTACATGTAGACTTTTGTTTAACCTTGACAAAAAAAAAATGGAAATAAGGTGGCACTCTGCCAATTAAATTGAAAAAAGATGACCTCTGGGTTACTGGTACTATATGGTTATTATCAAGTACTTGTAATGTCAGTCTTTTGCTAGAGCCTGAGAAATTTAAATTATCATTTACTGAGACCAAAGACATTATATTAGAAGATACTCCGTAATTAACATACATGGAGTTGCAGTTAAGTAGAAAAAATCAGTTGTTAATGTATCTGTTACGCAGAAAAATCAGTAACAGTATTTGCATTCAAGTTTTATAAAGGACTGCTATGTTCTGCCTGTTTTTTCATGTATTTGCAAACAAATATGAATAAACCTCTGCATACATGTACATCTTAAGTTACATGGCTCATTGAAAGCAGAAGAGATAGTTCCATACTTTCCAATAACTCTAAACTATTTCTGGCCTTATAAATAACCATTGTTTTCTTTGAGTTTCATGTATGTCATAACAAAGCTAGCAACTGTACAAAGTTGTAATACAAACTTACATATTGCAACAAAGATTTCTGAAGCTAGGACAAGGATATTTAAAGACTGCCAATAGTCATCTGAGGTATTTGGAAGGTGGTCAAAGTTTGCCAAGATCTTCTTAATAAAGCCAACAATAATCAGACATATTTTCTGAACACCTCCAAAGTTTAACCAAACCCTTCCAAATAATTATGAATATCACCCAAATATTTTCAAACAACTCCAAAGATCAGCTGAGCCCTTCCTAAGATTTCCAAAGAGTTCCGAAGGTCATCGAAAGATTACCAAAGATTACTGAGGATTACCTGAAGGTTGCAAAAGATTTTCCAATACCATGGGAAGTTTCTGAAATTATTTTTGGAAATTAAGATGGGTGCAGCACACTGCCAATACTGAAATTATATTTGATATAAAGCTAAAGGTTGCAAATAGTCTATTTTTATTTTTCAAGTGCATCTTTGTTAGCCTTTGAAGATGTACTTGACTGTGCATGTGCTGAACACTGATCAAGTTTGATGTTAAACACCGGTAATGTATTGATCAAATAGAGAATATCAACGTCCTGCTCTCCCCAAGGGCATTCCCAAGCATTTGGCATTATATTTTCATTATATTTTCAGTTGCTATTGGGGTGGGGCATTTGACACCTTATGGGAGGGTAAGGGGGAGATTTGCCTCCAAGTTAGTGTTCATCGCGACATTTTGCCTGGAAAAGAAACCGCCTCAAAAGCTCTGTGCCGTGTTTGAAAGTAAATGTAAAGTTCTGCTTGGAAAAATTTTATGACTTAAAAATAAAATAAAGAAACAAGGAAGAAAAGAAACAAACAAACATAGCAAGCTTAGATCCCGGGTNGGGGGGGGGGGGGGGGGGGGGGGGGGGGGGGTTAGATAAAACAGAGTTAGTAGATTTCGAGGGTGAATTCTTTTCCATTACTCATTTCTGCCATTTATGTTTCGGTAGTACGACCCGAAAGTAGGACATCTGAACAACATTTTTGTCCCGATGGATGGGCATCTGGTCTGACCAAAATCCTAGTGCCTGAGAGTTTTCCAGGGTGGAGGATGCCGGAGAGGGATGTTGAAGTTTCGAATTGACTGACAGATCACTGATACATAAGAGTTCCAACACGTTTCTACCTTTTATAGCTTTTACAGAACTCTGCTAGTACAACTTACTTTATTTTGAAGAGCAGCAATTCATTTGTTTCTCCCAGGTCCAAATGACAACGAATTGATTGAGAACAATGGTGATTTTCATTATGTTTGATTTTCCCGCGCGCAAGTGAGCCTGGGCCGAGAGGAGGCGCGCAAGAGCTTGTGGGAGAACATAGTCCTTTTCGCTTTCCTTAGCCCGCGGGACCTTGGACTCATAGAGCTTGTTATCAATTCCTTCTCAATCTAAAATTGAATTCACGATTCCTGATTTACGAATTGGTGTTTATTCAATGATGCATTTGAATTACGAAGAGGCAGGTAAAATCATGCAAGCGTTTACATGTAAGAATAGCAAGGACATTAGGAAAGACAACACCCGCTGTGGTCATCGAGGGAGTGCCTCATCTTCTGGACTTCTTTCTGATTTCTTGATCATACCTAAGGCGACGTTTATGCTGACTTCGTAAACGTTCCCATTTTAACTTTTACTTTTTTTCTTTTTTTTCCCCTCCTTTATTGAATGTCTTCTTCAAAAGCTATTGTTGTATTACAGTTTCTTTTTTATATATGTGTGTACTTATTAAACGCTTTTATTAAGAAGAAAGATCAAAAAAATTAGTACACACGAAATTGATTTACAAAGTTCGCGCCTGTGCCTTGCACAAGCCGTCTGAACACAAGCGAATTTGTCGCTTAGTGTTTACCGCAAAGAACACGGCCAATGTTGTACTCCGAAATGAGCAACTAATAACAGTTATTCTACAGGAATAGCCTTACCGTCTATGAATAGCTTCCCTTTTGTAAATCGGACTTTCCTGCCTTGGTCGAACGCCTCTTTCATGATCGGGAGTGCTTTTTCCCGGATTTCGAAGTCATAAGGGGTAAAGTCTTCCACAAATCTAACTCCATTCAGCGGGGTTTCTGATTCTTGGCGACACGAAGTAGCTCTCGCTTGAAAGGTCCGTTATAGAGTTTGACAATAATATTCCTAGGTTTTTCCTCGTGTTTTCTTCCAGTACGGCAAGCGTTCTCAATTTCGCCAACGTCATCTTCGAAGCCAAGAAGAGTGAAATAGTCTCGTATAATTGATAAACAGTCTTCACCATCCTGTTCAACTACGCCTATCACACGGATATTAAAGTCTCTGGAATATCTTTTCAAGCGTTCCACTCTCGTTTTCAGCTCCACATTACATTCTTGAAAAAGGTTTCTCGTTTCATTCAGCGTTATATTCACCGACTGCTTCATGCCGACGACATCTTCCTCGAGCTTCTCTACTTTCGGCTTTAAGTCGTCAATTTCATCAATCTTTGAAATAAAGCTTTCAATTTTGGCGAGTCGGGCGTCAGTGGTGCCTTACAAGTTCATCACTAATATTTTGCATTTGTTGTGTGAGGTGGCTTGAGGTCGCTTGTGTAATAAGAAGTAAGGCCTATTCTAAATCGAAAAAAAAAAAAAACTTTTGCTCAGTACGGAGCTCAACACGACGCGTCTTTACTCCATCGTGTCCAGTCCCTATTTTAACTTTTACTTGATGAAGGCACATCTCTCTTGTCTTTATCAAAGCATTATTTCATTGAAATTTGAGTTAAATTAATCCCTCAAGTGATTTCTTATTACAGCAATATTTGTATTTACAAGATTTTTGCCGCTAGTTAGGGCATCCTTCAGCGGCTCCTAGTGTTTATACTCCTTCATTTATAATACGATGGTTCCCTGAGAGGTCCGAACTTTTCAAAATGGATCGCTAAGATGCATGGACATCTCACGAACGTCGAATTGCTTTTTCAGGCACAAAAGAAAATAGTTTATTGTTAAAGAAATCTGTCTTTATTTATATTTGGTGGACAACATAAGTTAAACTTTACGAAAGCAACCTAAAAAAACGGAAATAAATGCTTAACATTTGCGCGCGTGCGACCTTGCATGCGCTTTTACCTAGAATGGATGGCCGTATTGTTCGAGTTCTCTTCTGGCACGTTTTCTGAACCTCACCTGCGACTCCGGCGCAGCATAAAACTTGACCAAATATTTCTTCAATACGGCCCACGCGCTTATTAGTAACATATATGTATTTATTTTTTTCTCAAGCTGAGCATCTGAGCGGGCTGGAATCCTCAATCCTCGAATTTGATTCGCTCATCATACGCATGTGACCGGTCCAGCTTTTTACGATACGGCCCACGGGCCGGATTTTTTCCCCGCTGCCTGAATTTCTCTCCTAATTAAAAGTTAGCGATAATCGTCAATCTTTTGCCTTTTTACACATCCATCGACGATTAGTCAACGCAACTTTATCTCTTTTTGACTTTAAAATGGCAAGGAAGGTCACTGTAGGTAAATTCAATTAGTGTTTTGAAGTTGTGAGAGTTTGTTTGGTTGTTTGTAGCTTGGCGCTGTAATGGCGCGTAATCCTGTGTTTCTCTCGCCGTAAAATTTGAGTCAATTTCATTTGAGTTTATACCTCTCTGATCGTTGCTGTATTTAGGAGAACGGTAGAAAAGTCTGGTTTCAAGTGATTTTAAAAGCAGCGACTCACAGAAATTGTTTTTGTAGTAAAACTTCAAACTTTGCACGAAATTTCACACCGCAAAAACAATTCTGGAGAACTTAACTGGTGAAATAAATGCAACTAACGTGAAGTAGTTCGAAAAAAAATATGTTCTCTAATGCATCTTTCTTTGTCTACTATCTTAGTTACTCGCTCGTTGCGAAGAGCTTTTTACAAATCGTTAGTAGACAGCGCGGAAGCTGGTTCGATGACAAAGTTGCGTAAACAAACCCATTTGTAATCTGTAAAACCAATTTACCGCAGGAAAAAAATTAAACATGTTATTTGCCGGCTTAGGGTCGGTCCGTATAGTGAAAAACTGTGACCTCGGGCTTGAAAATGCATTTTCAAGACCTTTCACCACACGGACCTCCCACCCGGCAAATAACATATATAAGTTGGATGTTCTTTAGTAGTCAATATGTATTAAAAGATCTAGAGATTCTAAAGTGATCTCTCGATCAGAAGTAATTGTTACCAGCAGTTACTCTGTTATTGGTTCGTCGCCTTGTTGGTGCAATGCCCGGGAACAAAATTTATTTTCAACGTTGTAAAACTAACACTATCGTCGAAAGTGGGGTCTTTAGGAAAGAAATCTTCGTTTTAGTATTGGTAAGTAAAGTGACAAATGTGTGTTGTCCATTGCATGTGTGAGATAATTATTCAAAATTGGAACCGTTTTAATTGATGAAAACATTTAAAAGGCCCAGGTTCGAGTATTCAGTT